GATGCAGGGACCAATGCACATATAAGAGGACAATTCAATGAGGTACACTGAGCACTTTGAGGAAGACAACAGATCGAAACATGTCAGTGGTTTTGTGTATTATTATTTTATTTATTTATATAGCGCCAGAAAATTCCGTTGCTCTGTACAATGGGTGGACTAACAGACACGTAATTGTAACCAGACAAATGGACGCACAGGAACAGAGGGGTTGAGGGCCCTGCTCAATGAGCTTATATGCTAGAGCAAGTGGTGTAAGTATAAGTAGGGGTAATGAAATATGTTGCTAGAAAAGTATTCACTGTGAACTTAGTAGGTTATTTTTGACAGTTGCAGGAGAGGAGTCATGGGGGGAGGGGGGAAGAATGAAAATCTGATAACAGTTTAAATGATATGCTTTCCTGAAGAAGTGTGTTTTCAAAGATTTTTTGAAGGAGTGGGGACTGGGCGAAAGTCTAATGGAGAAGGGAACGGAGTCCTGAAGAAAAGGTGCAGCCTGGAATAGTATAGTGTTTTTACCTACAGGATGTTATTTATATTCGTTTAGCAAATAGTGTTTTTAAGTTTTCATTCCTTGCTTATATATGGAGTTCTGAAAACGAGCTGTTTGACCCATATTGCTGCAATTACAGAGTTGTTGGAGGATGTAAGTCTCTAGCCTGCTGCTAGAGGCTCAGTTCCATGTGAGTTGTATGTGCAAAGTAATAAGATAAATAATTTCACTGGATATACTGCACTATGGTTTTCTGTTTATTTATATTATTTTATTATTGCGATTTATATAGCGCCAACAGATTCCGTAGTGCTTTACAATATTATTAGAGGGGGGATTTGACTATAAATAGGACAATTACAAGAAAACTTACAGAAATGAAGGGTTGAAGAGGGCCCTGCTCAAACGAGCTTACAGTCTATAGGAGGTGGGGTAGAAAACACATTAGGACAGGGAATAGAAGTCAAATTAGGTGGAAGTGGAGCAGAGCTGGAGGAGAGAGTAGAGTACTGCCCTTTAGGAGAGAGCAAGAGACAGGTATGTGAGGTAGAGGTTAGTCTGGGAGGCCATAGGCTTTCCTAAAGAAATTAGTTTTAAGGCACTTCTTAAATGATTGAAGACTAGGGGAGAGACTTCAATCATAGGATCGGAGCCACCCACAAAAAGTCCTGCAAGCGTGAGTTGGCCGTACGGGTACGAGCAGCAGACAGAAGGTGGTCACGGGCAGAGCGGAGGAACCAAGAAGGGGCATACCTATGGATATGTGAGGAGATATGAGGGGCTAAGATTATTCAGTGCTTTATAGGTATGGGTTAGCACTTTGAATTGGCTCCTATAGTATACAGGAAGCCAATGTAAGAACTGACAGAGGGTGAGGTGAGAGAGGACCGACTAGAGAGGAAAATCAGTCTGGCGGCAGCATTCATTACAGACTGTAGTGGGGCAATGCGGCTATTGGGAAGACCAATAAGAAGAGAGTTACAATAGTCCATGCAAGAGATTACTAGAGCTTGGACAAGCTCTTTAGTAGCATCTTGTGTAAGAAAGGGGCTGATGCGGGCGATGTTTTTGAGGTGGAATTGGCATGATTTGACAACAGACCGGATGTGAGGCTTAAAGGTGAGGCCAGAATCAAAAGTAACACCAAGACAACGTGCTTGTAAGGATGGGCTGATATGGGTACCACCAATCTGAAGGGAGAGTGAGAGAGGAGGATTCATATTAAGAGGAGGAAAGACAAGAAGTTCTGTTTTGGAAAGATTTAGTTTCAGAAAGCGGGAGGACATCCCATCAGAGTTAGAAGAAAGGCAAGAGGTGACACGTTGCAGGACATCAGGGGAGAGGTCCGGGGAGGAGAGATATATCTGGGTGTCATCAGCATACAGGTGGTATTTGAATCCAAAAGAGGTAATAAGCTTAACAAGAGAGGCAGTGTAAAGAGAAAATAGAAGGGGGCCAAGGACAGAGCCTTGGGGGACTCCAACTGAGCCAGGACGAATGGTGGAGGTATCATTAGAAAAGGAGACACTGAATGAGCGTTGGGAGAGAGAAGAGCCATGAGAGGACAGAGTCACAGAGACCGAGTGATTGAAGAGTTTGGAGAAGGAGAACATGATCAACATTGTCAAAAGCAGCGAAGAGGTCAAGAAGAATTAGTAAGTAGTGACCTTTGGACTTAGCTGTGATAAGGTCATTAGTGACTTTGATAAGACTTTGATATTGAAGGCTAAATATTATACCCAATTGCCTGATAATATTCTTTATTGTGTGCTCTCTGTTATTGATCTGTTCACTAATTTGAGTGTGGATTTTGAGTGACTTCCCATGGGTGACGGAAGCATATGGTTTGAAACCACACGTGTGATAACCCACATGTATACCTTTTCCACTAATCTTACCCATAATACAACCTTTACTCAACATTTAAACCAACCTTTAATCTTACCCATAATGCAACCCATGAACCTTCCCATAGTCCAACCTATAATCCAGCCTTTAACTCCTTAAGGACTGAGCCAATTGTACAGGTTGTGATCAAAATAAAACATACACAAAACCTGGAACTTGCGCTATACGTCTGTTCAACCGTAATTCACCTCTTTCATATTATGTGTACTCACACTTATTGTATATAATTTTCTTCAGTCCAAAAAGGGCTTTCATTGAACATCAAATATTTAGCTATGAAACATAATTTTTATGAATAAAATATAAAATGTGAGAAATTAATGTTATTTATTTGGTTCTGCATGGAATTTTAACTGTGAATGTCATAATACTGTTAGCTGTTACTGCAATAAAGTACACATATTTGTATTCAGCGATATGTCATGGGTAAAACAGTACCCCCATGTACAGGTTTTATGGTGTTTTGGAAAGTTACAGGGTCAAATAAAACACAACACATTTTTCAGTTTATACACATTGAAGTTTGCCAAATTGGTTATGTTGCCTTTGACACTGTATTGTAGCCTAGGAATAAGAATTACCTCGATAATGGCATACCATTTGCAAAAGTAGACAACCCAAGGTATTACAAATAGGGTATGTCAAGGCTTTTTAAATAGTCACTTAGTCATAAACACTGGCCAAAGTTAGCGTTCACATTTGTTTATGTGTGAAAAATGCAAAAAAATAATTTGACCGCTAATTTCGGCCAGTGTTTGTAGCTAAGTGGCTACTTAAAAAGACTGGACATACCCTATTTTCAATACCTTGGGTTGTCTACCTTTGCAAATGTATGCCATCATGGGGGGTAATTCTCATTCATGGGCTACCATACGGTCTCAAAGTCACCATAACCAACCTGGCAAATTTCAATGTGAAAAAACTGAAATGCAAGCCTTATATTTGACTCTATAACTTTCAAAACATCATAAAACCTGTACATGGGTGGTACTGTTATACTCGATAGACTTCGCTGAACACAAATATTAGGGTTTCAAAACCATAAAATGTATTACAATGATGATATCGTCAGTGAAAGTGCCATTTGTGTGTGAAAAATGGATGGACGCAATTGTACAAATTCTGAACAAAATAAACCATAGAATTTTAACTATATGTTTGTTCAACCATAATTTTCCTCTTTTGTATTAAAGGGAAACTCCAGTGCCAGGAAAACAATCCTGTTTTTCTGGCACTGCAGGTCCCCTCTCCCTCCCAACCCCAATCCCCGGTTGCTGAAGGGGTAAAAACCCCTTCAGTAACTTACCAGAGGCAGCGACGATGTCCCACGTAGCTGCTTCTTCCTCCACTGCCGCTCCTCCCAGTGATTACGTTGGCTAGTGGGTGAGACTGATCCCGCCCACCGGCCAGGGAGACCTAATGCACATGCGCATTAGAGTTCCCCATAGGAAAGCATTGAAAATGCTTTTAAATGCTTTCCTATGGGGAAATGAGCCACGCTGGAGGTCCTCACACAGCGTGAGGACGTCCAGCGATTCTCTAGCACAGGTTTTCTGTGCTATGATGCAGGAAGTGCCCTCTAGTGGTTGTCTAGTAGACAGCCACTACAGGTGGAGTTAACCCTGCAAGGTATTTATTGCAGTTTATAAAAAACTGCAATAATTACAGTTGCAGGGTTAAGAGTAGTGGGAGATGGCACCCAGACCACTCCAATGGGCAGAAGTGGTCTGGGTGCCTGGAGTGTCCCTTTAAGTGCACCCATGCTTATTATATATTATTTTTTTAGGAGAAAAAATAATTTTATTTTTTTCACATCAATATTTTTATATATATATATATATATATATATATATATATATATATATATATATATATATACACACACACACACACAAGTTAACCCTCGGTCAGGCGCAATGTTAGTAAGAACAGGATCGGGCGCATTGTGCGTAATAGGCCACTTTTACAAAAACAAACTTTTTACTCAAATAAAAACATGTTTATTATTCCATTTGCTCTACAACATTGGCAAGCATTTATTACAATAAAAAGTAGCATGTTCCATACATAATGCACGTTTACACTTGCTGCACTCTTATCTTGATAAGCGACGTCGTCCGCTATCCATAGTGCATGTAATGCACCTTCTCCTCTTGCTAGGCATTTCCAAAGTTTCCTCTTTATCTTCTTCTACATTTTCACAATTATGAAATCATTTCAGTTTTGATTGAATATGCAGTGGAATGCCGATTGTTTTTTCACTTCGTCTTTGAAGTTCATCTAACGTAAGTTCGTGAGAAAGCTGCTTCAGAAATAGACGCCTCTTTATTCAAATCATGTCCCAGATAAATTATCTGCGAATTTATGCCAGCAACATTCAACATGGTGAAAAATATTTTCATAGGCCAACGTTTTATATTCCTTGCAACGCTGAATGTAGCACACATTTTGTCAACATTGTCTACTCCTCCCTTTGTGGAATTGTAAAATGTAATTATCGATGGTTTCTTTTTCTCGCCTGTTTCTGAATCAAGAGATTTATCGTGATGAAAGCTGGACACAAGGATAACAGTTTTGTTGTTCTTCGGTACGTATGATACTAATGTAGTCCAAAGTTACTTGAATACACTTCCCTAGATTTTGTCGTGACAAATTCAGGTGGTAGCTCTCTATTGTTTTTCTTTACTGTGCCAACATAGGAAAGTTTCATCTCTTTCAGTTCTTCCACAAAATCCAGGGCAGTGAACCAATTGTCTGCTGTCAAGTTGCGATCAGATCCACGTAATGGTGCAATCATTCTCTTCACTACATCTGTTGGCTTATTGCTAATGTCAAATGGTCCATCGGGTTGATTCCCAGCATAAATTTCCAAATTATAGGTATAAAACATTTTAGAGTCAACAAGTGAGTATATTTTGGTGCCATATTTTGCTGGTTTTGATGGAATGTATTGTTTAAATGCACATCTTCCTCTAAAACCTGTGAGGTCTAATGTTACAAATTCACTCAAAGAGTAACATTTTTGAAAATTTTTAACAAATTCATAAAAAATTTCTCGTATTGGTGCAAGTTTATCAATAAGCTTTCTTTCATCTCGGGTATTTCTATCGTCAAATCTTAACCAACGCATCAAAAATTTAAATCGTTTCAGGTTCATCACCATACCAAACTTTTCTACTCCATCACCATTGGTTCCCCATAGTTCTTCAAGGCTTTGACGATTGGCTCTATAAGCTCCAGCCAAATATAATATACATCTGAATGCTTTTATTTCAATGTCATCAGTAAGTTTGGCGTCTCGTTCGCGTCCATATTTATTTTTGATAATATTTATATATTGGTTAGTATATTTTACAATGATATCCAGAATATCTCCAGTGAATAAGTATTTCCAACAGTCAACTGGAGATTTTGATAACTTTGCAGGGCCTATAACACCTTGTAACTGCTTCAACAAATTATGAGGCGCGGCGCGATTTTTCTTGTTGGGAATATCTCGATACCATTTACTGGACTTGTCTTTTCCGAGAAAATATGAAGCATTATCTGTGCTGTCGTCATTGCTGAATTCTTCATAGTTTTGTTCTGATTCAGAACTCTCAATGCGTGCTTCCATGTTATCTTCAGTCACGCTATCGTCGCTTTCATCTAAATCTTCAAAAATATTTTCATCATCTGAATGATCCTCTAGCATTTTCATCATATCCGCTACATCATTCAGATTATTGAAATGGAAAATTCTCTTTGAGTTGTCCATTTTTATTGCCGTATCTACAAAGAAATAACAAAAATAGCATCATTGGGTGCAATGTGCCTGAGAGGAACATCGTGCCTCATTATAGAGTTGAACATTAAAACATTGAAAAACAATCAGGTATGGCATTAATATGCTTGAATTAATTAGATAAATTACTTACCAATGTAATAATAGACGTATAATGGTTATACTGCAATTGGGCACAATGTGCCTAAGAGACACAAAGTGCTGCGACTCGCACACAAAAGTTCAAATGCGTACTGTGCATTATAGATCACTGCAGAATGTAAAAACAACAAGCTACTGAGGCGGCCGGGTGGTAACAAGCACTCGCTTTGGTAGGACAAAACAACAAACATTGGCTGTGCCTGTTGGATCAGTTGCTCCTGACCAAGGGTTAATATGAATAGCATGTACAAAAGAGTAATAAATTAAGATTTTTGTTTTTTTCTTAGTTCCGCATGGCATTTTAATTGTGAATGTCAGAATACTGTTAACTTTTGCTGCAATGAAACACACATATTTGTGTTCAGCAATGTCTCATGAGTGCAGGTTTTATCGGGTTTTGGAAGGGATTTCCTCTTTTCACTTTATACATATTGAAATTTGACATATTGCATTGCTGGGCCCATGTTGCCATTGAGACAGTATGGCAGCCCAGGAAGGAGAATTACCTCCATCATGGCATACCATTTGCAAAAATAAACATAAACTCAAGGTATTCAAAACTGTGAATGTTTAGTTCTTTTGTGGTAGCCACCTAGTCACAAACCCAGCCAAAGTTAGTGTTCGTATTTGTTTTTTGCATTTTTCACAAAAAAACTGTCATGTCATTGTTGATATCATCATCATTATCTATTTTACTGCACTAAAACATTATTTGTATTTAGCAAAGTCTCATGAGTACAACCGTATCTAGCATGTACAGGTTTTATGGGGTTTTGAAAAGTTAGAGTCAAATATAGGACTTGCCCATTTTAGTTTTTACATGTTGAAATTTGCCAGATTGGTTATGTTGCCTTTGAGACCATATATAAAGATGTCTAATCAAGTGAGTGATAAAAATCTCTGAATTAGATAAGATAGTAGAATATAATTTTAAATAAGTGCTATTTTTTGTTTTCCAGCTGGAGTAGACAGGCCACTAATATCTGAACTTTGTTTAATATAGCGAATTAATTGTTTTAAGAAAATAAATAAACATTATTGGAGAGAGTGGGCAGCTTTGTGTCATTTGATATACGAAATGTTGATGAAGTATAACCTGTGTGAAAGAGTCTTGCTGTTGGGAACGAATAGAGGGCTTAAATGCTCTTAAGGAAGAAGTGTGAGGGGGGACAATTTAGAAAGTGTTAGGCTCATGTATGGCCAGTTTAGGCAATCAAATGATTTTTCTGCATCTAAAGCTAAAATGATACCTTGTTTATACATACATATGCATTGTGAGCTAGTTTTTGCCCATTCAATTAGATTTATGAAATATCCAGCATTGTCCTCACTTGTCTTCCTGGAACAAGCAGTACCTGTTCTTCTGAGACCAAATCAAGAAGTAGTCATTTGAAATATATTAGAATCTCTCCTACATTAGAGAGGCTTTTATAGCTGTTCAGCTATTTCCATTGGATTATAAAGTTTGACACCTGTAGTAGAGGTTATATAGGGAGTTTTATTTTCCTGATGTTTCATTTTTAGCTTCCATGCGAAGAGTTTGCCTGTTTTGTTCCTAAAGCAGTAATAAAGCTGTTTAAGTGATTCAGTTGTGTGAAGAGATAGAGAATGTTTACGTTTTCTATTTACTAGAGAAATACTTAGAAAGTTTTAGTTTGTTTTGAGTATTCAGATCAGATAGGTGCCCGAGGAGCCATGAACGGGTTTTACACACCTTTCCATTGGACAAAGAGCCCATTTGAATCAATAATTGCTTAACTACTGCTTTGTGAGTTAACTATTGTTTTCCTATTGAAGTGTTGTGGGTTATGTTTTCATCAAAATAAGTCATAAAGCTCCTCCCTATCCTTTAGATTTGTTCTGGATCTTCTAGGAGGGCTATGCTCAATCTCTGTTTGCCTCTACCACAAACTGGACGTAGAGGTTTAAGATTAATAATGATTGGAGCATGGTCAGGCCATGTTTAAGTTCCTATAGATACATTAGAAACATTTGCTAAAATGATTTTATAATACATAGAAAAAGGTGTGCTATGCGATAAAGCTTTTGTTTTAACTAAGTCAGTGCCAGAGTTGGTATTTATTGGGGAAAAGAAGGAAAGGGGTATAAACTGAACCATGCATCATATTTATTACTTATTACTAGCATTTATAAAGTGCCAACATATTCCACAGGGCTGTAATAGTTTGGCTAGGGGCTGACTAAGAGAGAAGGGTGCAGACTGAGGTCTCCAGTCCTGCTATCTCTGAATGTCTAAAGTGGGATCTAATGTACAGTTAAAATTACCAGAGATAATGGTATGGCCTTTTTTATTTTTATGACTTGCTTGATTGCCTTACTCATAAAGGCTTGTTGTGAATTGTTTGGGGTGTATAGGGAGCCAAGTCTGCCTGACTGATCTATGTATTGTCTTTTGAGTTGGAAATCCCATTAAATTAATTTTATTGTGAAAAAAAATAGAAAAAACCTGTCAATATTTGGAGAGAACCGTGACAGCTAGAAGGGGGGAGTAAAATAAAAAAATAAAATAACTACTTATATTAAGAATTCATGAATTCCCAACCAAGAGTTACAGGATATGCATGACGGCCTATGTCCAGCATACACATTCATGCATTCTTAATAGAAGTAATTATTATTTTTTTCTTTTACTCTCCTCTACCAGCACCATCTTCCGCACTGTTTGCTTGGTTTTTTTTTCTCTCTCCCCCTCACTCTGTGATCTTCACACAAGATATTTACAACCCTCTGCAAAATTGGTGTCTATTTTCTATGAACCCTGTGTCTTATCTACACATGTCGCTTTAACCCCTGTATCACAACAACAATAAAAGAGGTATTACAAGATACAAATTTGATCTGTTTTTTTTTTTTTTTACATATGTGTTTTTTTTTGTACATATGTGTTGTTTTTTTTTTTTTCTTCAGGTTTGGGGGACTGCCTGACAATGCCGGTATTATGATAAACTGTTGGTCCGGTCATGTGATTGCTGTGTCATGCAACCATAGGGAAGGATGGGCTGTACTGGCTGCCAAGTTTCCCAGCTTGGGATTGCCGCGGTAGGTAAATACACTGCTCAAAAAAATAAAGGGAACACTTAAAGAACACAATGTAACTCCAAGTCAATCACACTTCTGTGAAATCAAACTGTCCACTTAGGAAGCAACACTGAGTGACAATCAACTTCACATGCTGTTGTGCAAATGGGATAAACAACAGGTGGAAATTATAGGCAACTAGCAAGACACCCCCAATAAAGGAGTGGTTCTGCAGGTGGTGACCACAGACCACTTCTCAGTTCCTATGTTTCCTGGCTGATGTTTTGGTCACTTTTGAATGCTGGTGGTGCTTTCACTCTAGTGGTAGCGTTAGACGGAGTCTACAACCCACATAAGTGGCTCAGGTAGTGCAGCTCATCCAGGATGGCACATCAATGCGAGCTAAGGCAAGAAGGTTTGCTGTGTCTGTCAGTGTAGTGTCCAGAGCATGGAGGCGCTACCAGGAGACAGGCCAGTACATCAGGAGACGTGGAAGAGGCCGTAGGATGGCAACAACCCAGCAGCAGGACCACTACCTCCACCTTTGTGCAAGGAGGAACAGGAGGAGCCCTGCCAGAGCCCTGCAAAATGACCTTCAGCAGGCCTCAAATGTGCATGTGTCTGCTCAAACGGTCAGAAACAGACTCCATGAGGGTGGTATAAGGGGCCCGACATCCACAGGTTGGGGTTGTGCTTACAGCCCAACACCGTGCAGGATGTTTGGCATTTGCCAGAGAACACCAAGATTGGCAAATTTGCCACTGGTGCCCTGTGCTCTTCACTGATGAAAGCAGGTTCACACTGAGCACATGTGACAGACGTGACAGAGTCTGGAGACGCCGTGGAGAACATTCTGCTGCTTGCAACAACCTTCCGCATAACTGGTTTGGCAGGGGGTCAGTAATGGTGTGGGGTTGCATTTCTTTGGGGGACCGCACAGTCCTCCATGTGCTCACCAGAGGTAGCCTGACTACCATTAGGTACCGAGATGAGATCCTCAGACTCTTTGTATGACCACATGCTGGTGCGGTTGTTCCTCCTAATGCAAGACAATGCTAGACCTCATGTGGCTGGAGTGTGTCAGCAGTTCCTGCAAGACGAAGGCATTGATGCTATAGACTGGCCCGCCCGTTCCCCAGACCGGAATCCAATTGAGCACATCTGGGACATCATGTCTCGCTCCATACACCAACATCACGTTGCACCACAGACTGTCCAGGAGTTGGCAGATGCTTTAGTTCAGGTCTGGGAGGAGATCCCTCAGGAGACCATCCGTCACCTCATCAGGAGCATGCACAGGCATTGTAGGGAGGTCATATAGGCACGTGGAGGCCACACACACTACTGAGCCTCATTTTGACTTGTTTTAAGGAGATTACATCAAAGTTGGATCAGCCTGTATTGTATTTTTCCACTTTAATTTTGAGTGTGACTCCAAATACAGACCTCCATTCAACTATGTAAAGAACAAAGTATTTCAAAAGAATATTTAATTCATTCAGATCTAGGATGTGTTATTTTTGTGTTCCCTTTTTTGAGCAGTGTATATTGCGTGGGGGGTACCATCTACAATGCTGCCTTGCGGAATTAAAACCCAAATTTTACAGTATTGCATAGTATGCCCACCGGCCTTAAAGGGTTAAAAACACAGAGGCTATTGTGACAAAACTTTTAGGGATATTCACTAAACTAAATTGTAGCAATTTAAATCTGATTGGCAATGTAAAACTACAACAAAT